TAGGTGAGTGTTCTGATGACGAGCTTATTGAAAGACTAACTTTGCACAGTTACAATGACAGGTTGGCGGAAAAAAAGTGTGATAGGCATATTCAAAATGCCATCCTTTTTGATTTTGTCGAAGGTAATCTGAAGGGCGTCGATTATACAAAAGCTCTTCAAGTCGTGTATGATCAAGAGTCAATGCAGAATTATCTTTCCGACCATGTAATTCTGATTGTTGCGGACTGGCCCGGGCAGTTCAATATCTGCAAAGCTATTGCACATCGGCTTCTTCTTAACAACGAAATCGTTCCATCATTCGTTACGGCATTTTTACCTATGATGGGACCTCTCCACATTTCTTTAAATAGTCAAGAGCTCGTTTTTGTAAAAAACTCTGATTTGTTTAATGGTATTTACAAAGGTATATTTGGAGAAAAAAAAGAGCTTGGTAATAAACCACAGCCATGGCGTATTGATTTAATGCTCTACATTACGCACACGGTGTGGTTTGATATAATTGATACTGTTTATTCTAAATTTGGTCATACATGTAAGAATATTGAGTTTTTGTATCTAACCGATCTTTTAAGTAATCTAATTCCTTTAGTTCTCGACGTTTATGCATTACATCATCGGGAAGGTAACTGGACGGTTTATAAAGAAGCTTGCATGCGTTGCTGGAGTGATCTTTTTCTTCGATTTGATCAAAAAAATTATAAACATGCACCACTAATGTTTTTTTCTGATATTTTCTATTGAATGGAAACTGACCATCCAATGTTTAATATGGTTACTAACCACCTTGCCTCTTTAAGTGACAGCCCTGTAGAAATAGTCCACAGTATAATTCGACGACGCACAGCTAAATTTTTGGATGCAGATCAATTACAAAGAGAGGCTCGTTTTATTTCCAGCATCGAGAAGACAACACTTTTCGACAATATTTCGTTAATACAGTCAAATATCCGTATACTCCTAAGCAATTGCACACAATTTCCAAAAAATGTGCTATAGTACTTTTGGACATGTTCAAGAAGATATATCAAGCACGCTATCGGTATACTCCAATTATTTCATGTTCTGATAATATTAACTCGTATAAATTGCCTTCTTTAGGTTTCGAGATAACAGATCGTCATCTTCCAAGGGGTTTTGTTACTATTAGAAAACCCTTTACGACCGTTTTATGTGATTATGTGCATTGTGATCATAACTATTCAGTTGGTGGCAAAGTTCTCGCATGTGGGCATGGTTACCATAACCACTGCTTAGAAAAATGTCGATCAAAGTGTCTGATATGTCTAGACTATCTTCGAAGTGAGGTTAAAAAAAATATCGGTGCGTTGAAGGTAAGTTTAACAAAAGCACTAAACAAAAAAGAGTTTGCTAGTGAAAGGACTAGAAATACAGCGGAGGACATAGATGATGCTGATACAGCAACAGATAACGTGGCGATGGTAGAAAATTCATTAGAAGAAGCAAAAAAATTATTTTTTGCATTGTAAATTTTTTTTTTTTATTAAATAAAGATTGAATTATTCTTTATTACTATAATTATATTTAAATAATATTTTTTTTTAATTGCCATTACATAATGCTGTCGTGATATATTTAATATTAAATTTTTTTGATCTGCCCATGGTATTATTTAATTCGCTATAGCATTCTATTTAATTAACTCGCTTATAATTGAAAGTCACGAATTTGATTGGCCGTGGCTTTTTAATAGAAGTACTGTAAAACGTATAAAAAAAAATTGTGTAATGATCGGGTGACTCAGATCATTATTTCCAAATTTGGGACGGTCTCACCTGTTATAGATTGGATGTTTTTTACTGTCTGGTACTGTATAAGATTTTTTTGTTAATTTTAATACATACAGTAGTAGTTCTAAAACATGATATCTTGTAATTATGGAATTTAATTTGGATGATTTTAATAATATTTGAATTGATTCAATGAGACAAATCTAATGATACCAAAATTATCAAAATTGGATTACAGAATCCAGAAATATCTTTGGTTTTTTGTTAAAAGCTACTAATATATATAAAAAAAAAAAAAAAAAAGATGTGATTGGTTTATAAATATAGAAGTCTTCCAATAAAAAAATCCTCCAATCAGACTTGCTTACTAGAAGCATTGGTTGGCTGGAACGATTTGGAAGTCTAGTAACCTTCCAGTCTTCCAATGGGCAACACTGAACTAGCTTGTATTGGATATTGATGCTGGGATCTAGAGACATAAATTTATGCTATTTGATTCCTAATCGTTTTATATTTGGTCAGGATTGCAATAAATTAAAACTAAATTACAAACTCGTGTTCTTATAATAACATTCTTCAAAAAAAATCGGTAAAATTTAAATATTGAATTATTAAAAATGCTTACAATATTGTATTTTAACAAAACAAAAGAATGAACTTATAAAATTTTAAATTTTTCAGTTTTTAAAATTTTACAGGTCCCAGAGCCAATCATACGAATGTCTGCGGCCGATCAAACCATGTGGCTTGTATAACTAACGCGGTGTTACTCGTCCTAGACGCGTCGAATCTATATAAATTACTCTACTATCATTATCGCTATTACTTATACTAAGAAAATGTCGCAAACGATTTTGAATGAAGGAAAAATAGAAGAGACGCTAAACTCTCAGTTAGCGCGGTTCGATAACTTCAATAACTTCGATAACAAGACAGCCAAAGAATTTAAAATAACAGTTTTACCTGATCAGCAAATTGAAACATATCGATACATGGATCAATCGTTTAGGGAAAAACATGAAGGTAGATAACTAATTATAATATCATAACGATCCTCATTAATAATAAAATAATATATAATCCTGAAGATGCTTCAAAAAAAATTCAGTTATGTTAGAACGATTTGAAACGCTTGCAGAAAGATTGAAAGAAGAATGTGAGATTGATGAAATATCTGATCCAACATCTTTAACTCAAGTACGTTAGATAATTACACGACATTTTTGCGATTTTTTCTCATATTAATGTTTCATATTTTATATAATACATGCAAAAGAATGAGATAATAACTGTAGGTAGAATATGGTGCGATTCTGAAGGAAAGCTTAATTCAGAATCTGTGTTATTGGAAACGCTACCAGATTTTGGAGGAAATTGGATTAAATTGTCATTGGAAAAACTTTCAACATTTAGTTTATTTCCAGGACAGGTATTTTAAAAAATGTTATTATTTAGCTATGAGAATTGAGTTTAATGTTTAATTTGTGGATTTAGATTTTAGGAATTCAAGGAAGCAATAAAACAATCGATGTATATGATTTAAAGAATGTTTTTGAAGCCGAATTCATCGTAAATAAAATTTTTGAGGTAAAGTTATTATGCCTTATCATTTCAAATTTATCAGATTGTCATTAAATAGATATAAATTTAATTGACGTATGAATAAAGATGCCATTGCTACCAATGTATCGCACTCCAACTAGTGAAATCATTGATCACAATAAGAATTTAAACGGAAAACCACTAAGCGTGGTAATTGCAACCGGTCCATATACATTAGAAACGGGATTTGAATATGAACCATTACGTGAGTTGATAAAAAAGATGGCACAGGAAAAACCAGATATCTTGATTTTGGTAGTTATATATTATTTATTGTTGAATTTGTACGATATATAAAAGTCTAAACGAATACGTAAACATAAATTAGATGGGACCATTTGTCGATGAGGATCATCCTATGATACAAACTGGAGAAGTATCAAATACTCCCGGTGAACTCTTTAGAAAATTTATTACACTTCCATTGGCTGCATTCATCAAGTCTACACCGAAAACGAAGATCATTATGATCCCTAGTACGAAAGATATATGTCACGAATATTTATCATTTCCTCAACCACCTTTGGATAAAGCAGGATTACCTAAGGTAATAATAATTCGATTTTATATATGTTTTAAAATAGTATTTTTCATAAACTCGTACGTTTCATTTATTTTAAAACTTCAAAAGGAAGTTACATGTTTATGCAATCCGGTCCAATTCAGAGTAAATGAAATTTTGTTTGCTGTTAGCAATGTTGATCTCCTATTTCATCTTAGTAGGGATGAAACCGAGAGGTGAATATACGAGATAACTCTCATTATATATTCAAATTAATCGGAACATGTTAAAAAATAAAAATAATATAACTTTTGACTAATAGGGTTCCAGGTAGAGCGGATCGTATGTCTAGAATAGTGCACCATATTTTGACTCAAAGACAGTAAGCATTGATTTTGTGGTTCTTTGATTTTATAAAATATACTCTTCTCTTACATATCGTGTACTATATCGGATTTAGCCTATATCCATTATTCCCAACGGCTATTGGTGAAGTAAATATGGATTTGAAGCATTCATCAAGCTTAGAGTTAAAAAATACGCCTGATGTCCTTATACTTCCTTCCAAATTGAAATATTTTGCTAAAGTAAGTTGATTTTTTTGTTTGCTAGCATGTTATTTAAAAAATTTCACAATTAAATTGACAACGAATTTTTAGATTGTTGATCAAGTTGTCTGTATTAATCCTGGATATCTTTGCAAAAGTCATGCGGGTGGAACATATGCCAAAATGACCATCTATCCACTTCTACAAAATTTGGCGCAAGGGGCTGATACAGAGAATTTTGTTTATCAAAGAACACGTGTAGATATAATAAAAATATAAATTCTTTTGTGTAACATGCCGCTATATTTATGACGTGCTGGTTCAAGGATGCCTGCACTGTACTTAGGTTTTTTATGAAATTAGGTATGGCTTGGACTAGTCATATCTATTTAATATATCAAATCGTGTTCTTAGAGGAATTTTTAATAAAATCTTATATATTCAAAATAAATAAATCTGTGACTGAAAAGGTCGTTGGTCTTGCGACGTGTAGGAGAGATGGGAGTTTCAAAATTACAATTTGATGTAATAATATTAATCAATCATGAGATGCATCAAAAGCGTAACTTCTATAACACTAATCATTAATGTCCTCTAAACACCAAAAGTATATTATTAAAAGGCAGATCTAGTTTCTGATAAACCATCGATCTTTCATTCACAAATATATTCAATTTCAGTCTCGGTTTTCAATATCTTTTTCACTCTTTCATCAAATTTCAATAAATCCGCGTAATTATCCACGCTATCCAAACTCAGCATGGGGTTTTGGCGTACTACTGGACGAAACTTATTACTTGCTGTCTGACTGGCCTTTTGGGTTGGAGAATTAGGCAAAACATAATTGTATCTGGCCTCTAAATCTCGTAACTCTTGCCAGTGCTTATCATAAACCGCATCCTCAACACTAGGCTGATTAAGAATATAATATTCATAATTTCATTTTTCAATTAAGGAAATCAGTTCTTTTATTCGGGTGATCTGCACCTCATTTTTTTTATTCATTATTCTCTAAATAGAAATCTATTTTTCAAACATCAATTCGTAATTAAAGAACTTGTACAAATATTTAAGCAATTGGTGTAATATTAGACACATTCTTTTTTGATTTATCTTTTTTATGACGCCATTGTTTAGATTTAGTATTTGATGAGTGAATTATTCCCTAAATCGATTTAATAAGTTTCATTAAAATTTTTGTCGCTCAAAGTTAAAAAAATAATTGAGTTATCTAACCTTGTTATCCAAGAATAATTGCAATTGTCGATCAGTACATAAGATACCCGCATTGTTGATTTCGTTTAAAAGTTGATCGAATTCTAACACCTTATGAAATTTAATCTTATCAATGATATGTTATAATATGATTTAATATTAGAATATCACTATATGCTCATACTTCATATCTAAGAACACGACAATAGAGTTGTCGATTACCCTTGATATATTTATATAATTCTTCAGTCAACGAAATATCTGTTGATGCATCATTATCATCCGAATCTTCATGAATGTCATTACACTTAAAAAACAAATTTTAGAGCAATTTAGTAAATAAATCTAATACAATCCTTATTTGGTATTATATAGTTCAGATAGTAAATCAATCCTATACATTTTCAGCTTGATTACGTGCCTCTTGATCAACATTATCATCACCTTCATTTTCGTGTATCTTGTTCCATATGATCTCTAATTGACGAATCATTGTTTCTTTTCCGGAAGGTCTAATACCGTATTTTGCCACTTCCACCTAAAATAAATAGATTAACATTAAAATTTTAAACTCAGCATTTTAAATTAAATTACATGCCTTTAACTCAGGAATCGACATTCGTTGATAATTTGGCTTTTTTTTTTCATTACTAATTGGTTCTGTTCGTGGTGGAAGAACATTATATATAATAGGATTTGTTTGAGAAATTGATGTAATTTCATCATCAATTATAGTGAAATCTGTTAGAGTATTCGAAACTGTTTTGGTATCAACTGATGGAGAATATGTCAATATTCCGTTGTAATCATAAACATCAGGATCAAGATCGTGATATGAAATTGAAGCTGGTGATATAGATTGAATAGAAATAGGTGTCTTGTTGATACGCATGATTTCTAAGCTCTTTTCTAGATCTATAACGGATATTTCTGCTTTATCCTCTTGTGTTTCAATTTCATCTATAGCAGATGCTTCAAGTTTGTTCTCTGGTGCCTTATCATCTTCAATTTTCAAAGACAAATCATCTGATTCCACTTGATTAGAATTTATTATTGAATTCTGTTTAGATAAATTCGATAATTTCCAGTTTCGTTCACGAACCAAATCTTTTATCTTTCAAATAATTAGCATTGTTAGGATAAGCGCGTCTTAAAGCATACATACACTGACTTAATGTAGCATGATACCTTTTCTTCATGAGTTTTTATTAATTTAGTAAGATTTCGCGTAAATTCAGCTTCCTCTTCTTGAATTTTACTTTGATAATCATTGATAATTAATTCAGAATCTTGACTCAATAAGTTACGTTCTGATTGATCAGAACCTTTCAAGCTCGCATTGGAAAAATTGTACAAATAATGCTATTCAATAAATAAAAAAATAAACATTATTTCTATAAGTTCACGTAGAAAACACGTAAAATTACCGCGTCCGACTGCTTTACTTCCACAGACATTTTGTTAACCACATTAAAGTTATATCGACGCGGAGGGGTTTATATGATATGAGCCTTAATTTTTTGAACCGGCCAGAATTAAGGGTAAAATTTTGGATTGGCCAACATTAAGTGATCAACCCACAATTCGGTTAAAAAAACTTTGGTATGTCACGTGATAGTTATTATAAATGCATTCCGTGACCAATGTTCATAAAGGCTAAATGTTCTTAAGACTAAAGGCTAAAAGTCCCAAACTAGTTAGGTTTGGACGGCAACTAAGGCTAGTAACAAACTACCCGTGACATTAAACTTTTGTTACGGATTATATTGAGAAATCAGGAATTTTGTGTCATTGCAAAATATTTTTTAAATAGTTTTATTATAAAATTCTTTTTTTAAAAGAACATAATGCCTAAGATTTTTCTTTTTTTTTTCTAAACTAATTTAAGCTTGCTACAGTTTACATATTTAATAATATTTAATTGGTTGCAAATAAAGAATTGAAAGTATAATACTACACATTAGTGTAGCTATAAAAAAATTATCTTGTTTATTTTGTATTTATATTATACTTTGTAATATAGTCAGATCTTTTGAAATATATAGATTATATAAATTTTTTTTTATAAATATACAGTATATCCTCTTTAAATAAAGTAAATAAAGATATTTTAATAAATAGGAGTATTGTAATGAATCACAATATCTTGCAATACTGTAATTAAAATCAAATAAACTTGTACTATTCTATTTTTTTTGATAAGAAAAGTTGTTTTGTTTTATTCAACCAAGACTGCTAAATCACAAAATATTGTAGTTAATATGTTTTTTAGATATTTTTTACTATACAATTCTTAATTAAATTGAGGTTAAGGTCCCGTAGCCTAGTGGTTTAGGTGCTTAACTCTTCACAGACAAGATTGATAGTTCAATTATAACTGGTAGTAATTAATTGAATTAATTATCTCTGTAACCTACAGGGGCTTTTGAATGCGGAACCTTGTGGTGGTAAGACCATGTGAAAAATATATTTGGCCAATAAAGAATTCTTGAAAGGAGTTCCGAACCATGGAGAAGATTAGGCACTGCATGTGATATAGATTATTGAAGATATTACTGCAAAAGGCTATACATGTGAACCTACAATTGGCAAGATAGCATCAACAACTCTAAGGTGGCATTGGGATTTTGATTAGTAGGACAGCTATATGCAGTATATTCAGAAGTGGTAAGAGAAGCAGTAAACATAGTAAGGGGCTGTGGTAAAAGAATAGCTTTACCAAATATAGAACACCTCTGATGCAATAAAGAAACAAGGAAAACTGGTTAAAAAAAACTCCAAAAAGCATGGAAGCAAGCATTTTGGTAGTATGAACACTAAAGATGGCTAGTAAGTATAGTCACACAACCTATATAGGAGTCTATAACGAAATATAGCAGAAGCACAGGTCTCAAGTTATTGCTTTGTGGTAGTAATTAAATGAGATTCTTAACTCCTGTTCTAAGGATCTAGACTTCTGTATCACTATACTAATAGGGAGTACTATAAAAAGGATGGTAGCCTAATTAAGTAGTGTATGACATGAATATCTGGAACTATGTGAATAGCTCTTCTAATAGCAGTAGCAGATGGCTTGAGATACAGGTCTTTGGACGATAGCAACATCTGGCTTGAGATATAGATTAGGATCTGAAGTAATATCTCAAGGAACATCAAACTAGAAGCAAGAAGAGCACCTACTCTTAGAACACCAATTTGGAAGTTATACAAGATACGAATTAGGAGTAATGTGATAAGTGATAAGAAGTGAATTATAATTAATAGACATTATATAGTAGTATATATAGTGGAGTATATATGAATAAGGGTGAGTATGGTCTTCTGTTGATCCAGAAAGTAACCAACCCCCTAGTAAGTTAGGGGCCAAAGAGGAGGAAAATCTGTGGCTAAATGGTTATACTTGGGCACCTTAGAGCAGCCGAGTAAAGCTTTGTTACAGAGTCAGTAGGAATATAGTTTTTAGAAGTTTCTGTACTGATAAAATCTTGTATGTCTCGATAAAAAGAAACACTTAACTACTAAAGATTAATAAAGTAGATACCATTAAAAAAAAAAAAAAATCTTAATTGAATTCATATATAAAAATCATTCAACTCTTTCTAATGATTACTCAGTCCAAAATTTCTATAGAAGAAAACCACAAATTTTGTTGGAGAGTTGTGGCCTAACGTAGTAGTTTGTCTAGAGGTCAACATACTGCTAGTGGAACTCTTCTAAAAATGATATTCAGCATGCAAGCCAAAAGTGTTATTATACAAGATAACTGACAGAAGGTGCCCTTGTATAAAAAATCTTGGTAGAGAAAAGGACTCTTACTTTTTGGACACTCTTCTTTTTTTGTCAACGAAGCTCTTAGGCCATACTTCTTTGAAGACACTAGAAAACAACAAAATATTCTGTTATTTTCTTCAAGCCACACTCTTTTTACTTGGTTAAGTGGTATTTTTTTACTTTTTCTTATTCTTCTATTGGTCTCCCAAAAAATTTCAACAAAAAGTGAAGATTTGGCTTACCCTCTCCAAAAAATCAGTATTGTTTACTTTCCAAATTCGAACAGATTAGCAGAATACAACCATGTGTTTGTTTATAAACAAATATAGTACTTTTTTATAGGACTTAGCCTGGAAACTCTAATTATGGCAGCAGGTAGCTTGAGATATAGGTTCTTGAACAACAACAGCACCTGGCTCAAAATATGAATTAAAATGGGCAATGAAGTTATCTAGAGTTGGTAAAAAGGTCGAAAAGTAAATTTAATATTAAGATAAAGCTTTATAGTAGAGATATACAAATGTTGTATTTGTTATATAATTTTTATTAGCTATGCATGGGTTATAATAGTGCCTTTAGGTTTTAGATTTCTTTTTATGCTTTTTTTTTTTCACAATCAGTATTTCTTTTTTGTTTTTTGTTTTTTGTTTTTTTTTGGTTGGTTTTATTACTCTTTGTTGAAAAATTTCCTTCTTTTGTCTTATCCTCTTGAAAAAAAGAAAGAATTAGAAGGGAAAAAAGAGATCCTAACACAGTATACAACAACCTGTCAAATGATCAAGAGGTATCTTTTAATGATACAAAATCCGAAGCAAGTTTTAGATCCCGAGTAAGACTAATAGTTGTTATAGCAGGTTGTATTGAATAGTACTTAGATATATCTAGTAAGTTTTTATTAGATTAGAACTATTCACTATAAAAACATATGTATGTTGTTATAGTGTATTTATATAGCAGTTTACAATAATAAAAGCAAGATCGCTTAAAAAAAAAAAAAAAAAAAATTCTTAATTGAATTTTTTATTACTATGAATTCAAAGTTTAGAAATTTTTATTTCAATTAATTCTTCTTATTATAAAAAGTTAATTGGTATAAAAATTGCTTAATTTTGATTATAAAATTAGAAGATATTTATATTTAAATAATAATTGTTCAAAGCATAGTAAAGGACACTCTGTTTTTATGTTTGTAATTAATTAATATTGTTATATGAATTCTGTTTGTTTATTTCTGTTTCTTTAATTGGTTGCAATAATTAAAAGTTATTGTGCAAATTACTGTATTACTAAAAAGAGAGGTTATCTAAAGTAGAGGCAAATTATATGATTAACAGACAATTAATTGATGATTCGCCACTTACCAGATCAAAATAATCTATATTTATTAAATAAATATAACGCAGTTTTATTAATAAAAATCCTAATTTGTAAATGTGGAAAATTTTATATAATACGTACATATGTACGTAGCGCTATATTTGCATTTTACCCACCACTTTGAAACTTCGTCGCCAGTTTAGAACCCCTGCTAATTAAGAAGCAAACCACTTATTTATTTGTAAACCTGCTAGTTAAAACCTGTCTAATTTAACTTGCAGGTTTAGAGCTTAATACTTTCTACTTTAAAACCCTCCTAATCACTAATTTAGAGCCAACTCATCTTTTAGTTTAGATCCTGCATCTTGTACAAGTAACCTGCTAGTTTAGTTCTCAGATCCCACACAACAACCTGCAATTTAGATTTCACAGATCTTATATAAATTACTTGCTACTTTAAATCTATTTATTAAATGTATATAAATCAAATAAAAAAAAATAAAGTTTTGTTTTAGTTATATATATTATTACTATATAGACTAGTATACTGTATGTTTCTACTATTTATAAAATTTTTTTATTTCGTATATATTAATAAAGTTGAAGTTCGGCTAATTACACTTCAGAATTAGAGTTAGAGTCTAAAGTTAAAAGGTAGAGACTCTCGAATATTAAACCAATCAAATAAACCAGTAAAAAATAGATATACGGCAAAGTTCATCTCTCTCTGGTAAGCATTAACTGGTGGAATTAAAATCATCAAATTGAGTTCCCCGATTAAAAAACATATATACTTACTACATCACATACCATAAATTGTCGTATACAAGACCCGGGTCCACCAATTTTAAAACCTATAATAGATCCCAGGTCTAGCATACAGCTGAGGATTCACGTTACTAAGAGAAAAACTTTGGAGAGTATGCATGTTTTGCATTTATAATAGGCAGTCCAGATATTAAAAAAACCTATATTTGATTAATATATATCCTGTGATTCACATCCGGGTATACAGCGATTTATGGTAATACTCTTCAAATCGCTACATTTGCACTAATCATAGCTACAATTATAAAGATCATTATTAATCAATGGCATTTAAGTCAGCAGACAAAATACTTATTTACACAATACCTTTTAAATAGCTTCACTCATGTTAATAATTCTATTAAGCTTGAAAATATGAAGATCATTAATCAACAGAATTAAAATCATTAAATTAAATTCATACATAAATAACATGAATACTTCCGTTACATAAGACCTCTCAAATCACTTTAGTCACATTAATCATTTCATTTAGCCTATGGCTATAAAGATCATTTATTAATCATTGGCATTAAAATCAACAGATCAAGTTCTATAAATA